TGGTCAAATTGACACTTCACATACTTACCCACCGTTACCCACAAATCAAACCATAAGGTAAAACAAAGAGATTGCAGAAAATAGTATGGTTGCAGAAAGTAGGTATTGCATAAAATAGTAGGTTAGGTTAGGTTAGAACAGTGACCCTTAACGCGCGAAGGCGAGCGAAGCGTGCCGCGGCAGCGGCCGCCGAGCGCTAGAATCACCTCTATTGTTAATGAATCATTTGGAAATATCGATAAAAAGAATGAAATATGAAAATTAATTTAAAACAAATTTTATATTAACTACCCACTAAACAAAATAATAACCACAAGTTAATTTGTATTCCATTCTACGCACCAATCAAATTATTTTGTAAATAGTGTATCGTGAAATATTTTTGCCAAATGAAACGTTTGCCAAAACATACTTTGCCAAACAATAATTTGCTAAACAATAATATGCCAAAAACGGCATTTGCGAATTAAAAGTTTGCTATAAGTTGTTTTGCCAAATGAGAATTTGCCAAATGAAAATTTGCGAAACGTTGTTTGCGATGTGATAATTTGGGAAACGTTTTTTGGCCAAACATTAGTAATCCAGGATCAATGCTAGTTTACTCAATACAAAGAGTTGCTTTAGCAAACGTTTGTGAGCCTTTGTTGATCGACCAGCCTAATCTGTCTTTAAAAAAAGATGAAATAAAATGATAACAAGGTTGTAATCGCAGCTGCTGCACTAAGCTGTGCTTGTGTCGTAGCAGGCAGCTAATTAAATTGTTATTTTAAATATTTCACATATCTATACCCCAAAATGCAAATGCATAGTAATTATGGACATCTCTATTAGAGAAATAAAAGCTTCACCTGTGCGGTTTGAATCTATTTGCCGCTTTTGATACACGCATGTTTTGTGGTGAGGATAATACAACGGTATGTATTTCGTTATTGTTATGTTTATCTACCTAGATACTGAATATTGTGAACAATATTGGCCTTAGTCTGTGGCGAATATTCAAATATGGTGAATTAATAAAATATTTTTAGTTGGTTACTGAAACAAACTGCGCTTATCTGGCACCTAAAATCAACAACTTATTCGTATTTATTTATCTGAAAAATGAATAATCAGTAGGCCTTCTAGACTAGAAATAAGAAAATAGAATTCTCTTGGAAACATTTCAATTTGAAATTAGATTTTGTTAAGATAAAAGTAAAGATTTCGGCTCCGTCTTTGTATAAAGCTTCAATTGAATTCAAATCAAGTCTGATAATCTTCTTAAATGGCGCCAGCTTTGATGAAATCAACCCGTCATTTTCATTGTATTGAATTTATAGTACCTAAGACTACATTTAGTTATGTTATATATTTTATCATTTGTATGTAGCTTTTACAGATTTTCACAATATTTTACGTCCAAACTAAAACGAATGCTTTGTACAATGTGTATTGTGTAATATAGTGTCGCATTGTTTATATCTTTCCTAATAAAAAGGGTCTAAATACCTACTTCTCTTTCCCATTTAATTTTCCGCAACCCCTGTGTAGCTAGGATAATAGCATGACTGCTAAAAAAATGAAACATGTGACTTTATTATGAGAATTCACTCTTATCAAATGAAAGATGACAAGCAAATATTTTTTTCCGAATCGGTAACCCTATGGCGTTTCTCATTTTTTTCTCAACTCGACTAGCCTTCAAAGGTCATCGTGCGACGCGTGAAATCGCAGGGCACGATTGTCGCCGGTTGTGAAGATTGGACTCTTTCGAGATGTGGTGGACTTCAATGGTCATCTAGTTGACGCCATGACTGATTTGGTACCGATCTGAATTCTGTAATTTTGTGACTAAATAAAAATAGTTGCTTTTTCTGCGTAAACGTTGAGTTGTGTAGAGCACAGAAACAATGAACTAACTACGAAGTTGAAATCAACGAGATTTTAGTATAATTTAATACTCATAATGTGTAAATAAACGACCATCATGCCTTAGAGACGACACGTCCTCAAACTAACGATATTGCCATGATTTTCGTATTAATCAGAGACATACCTCTCTACATTTTCAAGAGACATTTCATCACATATTTTTAAAAATTGTGTTTGTCAATTAAAAGAAAAGACTTCCTGCCCAAATTGGTTTCCTAGTACATAGTAGCCAATCACGCACTACAGTTAATCAACACATGTTTTTGATCGCGTGTATCACTAATTATCTTGTAATAATGACAGCCAATTACGAAACATTCCTGTTTACAAACAAAATGCTTAATTAAGACACAGGTAATGAATGAAGTAAGTCTTTATTAGTGAATGAATATCTAAAATTAGATACAAGCAAGATGGTTGAGGCAGCGTGGGACGTCCACCCATAAGGTGGACCGACGACCTGATAAAGGTAGCAGGAAGGCGCTGGATGCAGGCCGCTACCAACCGTGCGATGTGGAAGTTAATGAGGGAGGCCTATTCAGCAGTGGATGTCCTGAAAATGATGATGATGATGATTACATAATGTTACAAAGCAACATTTTTCTCTACAATTTCTTTAAATGTTATTTAATCTTTTATAACCCACTAGATTCGCAATTTTAACCACCCAATGTAGGTTAATCACTTCACGATATTTGAAAAATGCAACATAATAGTTTAAAATATTATATCCTTATCCAATGTAGGTGTACGTAATTTAACGTGATGGGTGACAAGACAAGTAGGCCTCTTGTTTTCTATATTATTGTTAAAGTGCAGTATTGAATCTAATACTGTAGCACAGTAACGTTCATATACCGGATCAAATTCTTCCGTGATTCATTGTAGTAGCAGTAAAACATGTGTTGATCCATTTACCTACTCACCATCATAAAATACTGGCAATTATTGATTGCAATACTTTAGTTAGTTGCGGTAATAATGTGGGGTATCCTGTTGCATTATTTATAAACTTCTACAATTTGATGTTTATGTTGTATGAAATGGTTACAAGTTAATAAGTTATTAATACTTTTAAAAGTTTTTTAAAGGACCATGCCACATATTTTGGCTAAGGAGTTTGTGAAGTTAAGGCAAATGGGTCATTCCATAAAAATCTGTATATTTTCGACGTCATTTTGTCCGTAACTTTTTTAAGATGCTTTTGAATACTTTATTAGTGTAAATTATTGTTTATTAATTAATTATGTTATGTCTAAAAGGGCCAGTCACTTTATGCTTTATTTTAGGAGAAATTATAATTTTCAATTTTTTCATACTACATTACTCCTATATGACTTCTAATAAAGTATAAAACTTTTAACCTTAACATTTATAGATAAGTTAATACACATAATGTAGTTGTTTTGTTATTATCACTATATAAAAAACATCATTCCCTAACTAGTAATTTAGTCCCAAGTGCCATTTAAAGCTAGGGCCTGACGCTCTAGGGACTGACGATTTGGAGTAAAACTTAACACAAATGCAGATTAACTTTATATTATAAGATGCTTAATACCATGTGCCGAAAATAGCCAAAAAACTACACGTAAATACTATTAAATTATATACAATTTCCTATTATAATCAATAAAGCTACTCAACTAGGGACTGACGAAGTGACTGGATTAACACATGTTTCGGTAACAACTGTCACGTTTGCACTAATTCAAAAAACGGCTACCGCAAAGCCAGTATGGTCTGAGGATAACTTCGTATCGTACTTTAAACTCAACTAAATGTCATTCACTCTAAATACATACTAAAGCGCAAAATATAAAATCAGTGCGTGGCGAGGGAATGACGCTAAAAACTGTAGACTCTTTTTCAACTAAAGAAAATCAAATTATTGTTTATTGAAACCGCAAAATATTAATAGAATTTGGTGTAATATACATTTAAATAGATTATTCGTTAATTAAAACAAAGGATAAAGTTGATGTTTTTATAAATGTGGGTCCCAAAACACAATCTTTTGGAGTACGGACATGCCTAGGGAATGACGTTTTGGGTCATTCAAAAGGAATTTAAGATGTTTTAAAAATAGTTTCAAAAAATATAAATGGGTGATGAATAAAGCACATTGCGAGCTGTTATTTAACAATTTTGGAATAAAATATTAACAAATATTTCATGTGAAATGTGGCGCGGACTAAGAGTTGACATATTTTTGTGGAATGACCCAAATAGAGTTAGAAGCTTGTCTCTTCATGAGGTCTGATATATTTTCCACGGTGCGAACCAATAAGGTCTCGTTTTGACAGTATTATATTATACATCAAAATGTTTTGGTGGGATAATCAATACAGTGTAGGAGTATATTGCTATTTTTTCGTGATAGCGTAAATTTCAGTTTCTTACAGAAGTCTCAGAAAGACTTGGGCACGTATCCCCTTTTCCTAAACTGAAAAAAATCCTAAGATGTTGTATAATTGTTCAGTCAGGTCAGACAGGCAAAGTTTAGGTACTACATTTATGGCATTTTTGAGTTACTACATATTATGGCACAAAGAATTTGATAACTATCCATTTCAATTAATTAATAAATAATAATAATAATAATAAATCTTTGGACAATTTCACACAGCGCCAGCTAGCCCCAAAGTAAGCAACTTAATGCTTGTGTTATGGGTGCTAGCTTGACGGATACACTACTTATATATATACTTTTTTTTAAATACATACATATTATACATAGTAACACCCTTATATTATACATAGTAAATCTTTGGACAATTTCACACAGCGCCAGCTAGCCCCAAAGTAAGCAACTCAATGCTTGTGTTATGGGTGCTAGCTTAACGGATTTACTACTTATATACTTTTTTTAAATTAAATACATACATATTATACATATTTACACCCAGACCCGTCACAGAAATTAAAATTCATCATTTCAATTTCTGCCCGGTCAATACTTTTATGGTTATTATGGTTAACTGTTGTAGATTGTAGAGTATGCAATTTTTGTGTGCAATAAAGATTTTAAATAAATAAATAAATGAGTATATGGGTACAATACTGACATTTGTCCTCGTTGCCGGCAGATAGACCCCAACACAGCGTTCCTACGGGCAGCGCGCGCCGGTCAGCTGGACACCGTCGTCGACCTGCTCGACTCCGGCGCCGTCAAGGACATCAACACATGCAACTCGGTGAGTCACACGATACAGTACGATACGATACAATGTGAGCTCGACACCGTCGTCGATCTGCTCGACTCCGGCGCCGTCAAGGACATCAACACATGCAACTCAGTGAGTCACACGATACAGTACGATACAACACGATACAGTACAGTACAACACGCTACGATATGATACAATACTACGTTACGTTACGATAGTACTGACCCAGCCACGAGGCCTTCTCTGGCAAATTAGGTCTCACAATTTTAGGGAATGACGCTCTGGGAAATAGGAAGGCAGACTAGCCGCAACAAAGTAGATAACATCCTGAGCTTAGTTTAAGAATATAGATAATCTCCTGAACAGTAAAATTCTGATTCAAGACCCGAAGCATGGAGTAAATAAATTATATTGTATGTATAATTTATTTACTCCTATGTATCAACTCGTGTAGTCTCATAATTTGGCTAAGTAAATGGTTTAAGAGTTAAAACCATTAATTAATTGCGAATATAAAACTATTAAGTAAATAATTAAAAACAACAAATTTGTCATATACAATTTGTGACCGAATCAATCCATTTTAACGAGGATTATGTCGAACTACGTGTCCCGACAAATTAATTAACGTTGATACGATATTAATGAGCGTGACACTGCAATTACAAGTCCAGCTGACTTAATTGGAATTTCAGAGACATGGAATGATAAATAAAAATTATAAGAGGACTGAATTGATACCAAATTTTTTCCTTTCACTTTTAGGCTTTTGCGAATTCTCAGCAAATAACCTTATACTTCTATCACGACGAAAACTTCATGCATTAGCCGCCGAGGCATCTAGCATTGACCATCTTAACCTGCCTTCCGAAACATGAAATCAACTGAATAACATAAAGCGTAAAAACTCCTATGTGCATCCAACTTGGAAATAGGACATAGAATTAAGCCGAGAAAGACTTTTAAGTTCTGGCTGGAACACGCGTCTCCGCCATAGGAGTAAGGGAAAGAAAATGTTTATTATTATTTCAACTTATTATTATACAGACAACTCATCAAGCTTTAGCATTAAATTAAATGTATAGTCTGATCATGGCGACTGTTTCTTATAACGGAATTGTTGTGATAGAGGTCGAAGTAATAAAATTCTCACGCTACTTACCTATTATTTCAATAAATCAATAGTTTTCTATAGTTCACAGTCAGTCACAGCGAGTCCGTTCTAAAACAAAAGAAGTAGGTTGGTCAAGTCTCCAATGAGTCGCCCCTCTTACCTTATTTTGAACCACGAGGGAGAAACGTTGCGGTATTGCGCATCGAATGTGTAAAGTTATAGTAGATATCTATTTGTATTTATTTATATAAAAGAAACATCTACCTATAGCAGTGTTCCATATGAGTGACAAGTTACTTTAGCGAAATCTGCGCAGAAAAGAATTGCTATGAGATTAGTATAGCCAGGACGTACACTGCAAAGAATCCTACTAATAAGTATTATAAATGCGAAAGTTTGGTTGTCTGGATGTTTGTTACCGCGTGCAAAAGCTATAATGAAATAAAACTAATCCAACTTCATCAACGGTACTCGAGAAAAGTACGTTAAAATTAACCCTCTACAAACGAACCAGCGGTTTGAGACAAATATATTACAAGTGCTGAAATGTAATAAATATCTATCTTACACACGTAAATTCAAAGTAACGAAATGGCAATTGTGTTCAGGAAACAAAATGTATTAAAAAGACATCAACGAGTTCTGCCTATGAATTATGGATGGTATGGAGTTAAAGTGGACAAATTAACTTATTGTTTCTTTAACGATAGTGAAACGATTAACATCGATAAAGTGAAATCCGAAAATCTATTAAGTACTTATTATTCTAGATAGGATTTGCAACTGAATAATTCCAAAGTTACAATAATTAATTGATATGAAATTGCACGCGGCAGTTAGAATCATGAAAACTGATTCCCCATACAAGTTTTACCCCTCACCCCCTTATCGCCCATTAAGGGATGAGTTAAGGGATTAAAATTATCAAATCTTCTTCCCAGGGTGTGTTAAAAAGTTGCAGGCGGCGTTTCTCTCGCAATTTTAATAAAATCAGTATGGATATTTGATTAGATAACACTTATAAAAGTTATTTCCATCGCCGGAGGGAGATCACCGTCATGGTCGGTCCATGCTCGCGCATCATCAGATAATGCCCCACAATGAGCGCATCCTGACAGGTGTCGCGGGCTGTCAGGAAACTGACGCCATTTTTGCTGCGCTCGCGCTCGTTACTACATTGTTTACTTTTTGTGCTTTTTGTGTCACGGTGAAACGTCCAAACGTAATGGACAGCACTTTAGATTAGGTAAATAATTTTGTTGAAAAATCGTACTTATTATTACAACATAAGAGTTTCCAATGATGTGATGTCGTCTTCACAAAGCAATTTGTTTTCATTTTTGGATATTCATTGACATAATAGGCTTATTAAAATTCGACACAATAAACAGACATTTAAAAATTAAGAACCATTAGATATCCTATGAATATTAATGTAGGAATTTAATTATTTAGGGAACTTATTTTTTTTAATAAAGTCAAAAAGAAAGTAGTTACTGTGAGACGATAAGTAAAGAAACCTATGAAAGTAAGATTCTGTCGCAACACTAGTTCTCCATCGCAATTTATTTTCTTCGTTAATTAATCGAAGATTTCCTCAGAAAAATGAATGCCTATTTGTTGTTATTATTAATTGCGCCTATTAAGGGCCTGGCCTTATCTGCGGTCCATTTAGTTCAGACTGAAACACATTAATATTTCTTAGTACTCATTCAGCTGGTCTGCGGGGGTCCGAGGAAAGTGCGACCTAATTGCGGACTCCCAGCGTAATTAGCTAGAAAACCAGAAAGAAAACGCTGTGCTGCGGAAAGAAAACCTGTTAATATTTGAAGCAAAAAAGAACTTGGTTTTTAAGAAACTTATTTATCAACATAAATTAAATAAAAATACCATAGTCTTTAGTATAGTTGGTAGTAGGTACAGAACCGATATCTAGACATGGCAAAGTCCGATTCTCACGAGACTCATGAGAAGAAATTCCGGTGGCGGTAAATGACATGACACCCAACTTAGAATTCACTGGTTTGTTGTAGTCGTGAAAAAAAAAGGTCAAGATAAGCAGAGGTTCGCATTTAAGACTTGTCACTTATGTAGTAACTGATTTTCCTCAGGTTTTCCCGTGTTTTTCCGATATTTTACTACGTATTCTGCTATTTGGAGCGGAGATATTACAAATCAGAGATCATTAAAATCAGTCTAGCCGTTCTTCAAGAACGTTCTTCACGATCGTTTGTAACTAATAACTTTGTTTCATATTAAAGTATTATTGTAGTAGTATGGATGGCTAAATAAATAGACCGTGGCTATCGGCACGCGCCACTATACCTATTACCCCACAATGGTCAGCCATAACTGCGCAGTGGCGCCCCCAATGGACATTTTTTATCGCCACTGACACTCATAAACAGTTCCAAAGCTTTTAGATTGACTGTGGGAATTTTCATTACCTAGAAAACAGTTTTTAGTAGGGATGTACGAGTATGTAGTACCTACATAGTATGTAGGTTTAAAGAACATTTATTTCTCATTAAAAACATTACAGTCACTTACATGAAAAATTAACAATTTTATGTAGGTAGGTAGGTAATTTACAAGTTGTCCAATAGCCAATGCAAATTAACCATAAACACATTGAGTGCATTGAGCGAGTGTTTGGTGTGTATTATTATTACATTTGAAAGCGAGCTCAAGTAATTTCTGGAAGTGAAGAAGACCTAAAGACAAAACTTAAAGCTCTGAAAGATGCTTTGGTTCAATTTCTGAAACATTGCAACCCACACGAAAACAAGAATAAGTCGGAGTTTTGTTGTTCGTTCATTGCGAATATGCATTCAATTTACATCTAAAATAAGATATAATTATTTATTATTTATACATTTTGTAAATGTAATAAGCATATGCGAGTGTAATAATTGATACGATAACAAATAATACCGACTTCTAAATGATGATGTTTATTACAATTTGATTGAACGCAGTTTCAATTTCAATTATTTCCGCGGTGTTTAGTCACGGCGTTTTTTGCATTCTTCCATTGAAATATTGAACGCAGTAGGTATTCTATTAATATCAATAATAGACATATTAATTTCGCTATGCAATATCAGTATCGCGTATTGCAAGTGTGGTCGGCCTTGTACGTTCCGGATGGCAGAAGATATCAAGTTACAGGTGCGATATTAACACTGGCGCTACCTAGTATTAAGTACTAGGTACTGTCATGAAATATGATTAATTATGTAATGCATTTATTTAATTAATATCGTGTAAGAGCTCTTACAAAAATGACAATTACTCATGTTACAAGTAGTTAACAATATAAATTAACTAACTAGTGAACTACGAGTATTTTGTGTTCTTTATTATGCTTACTCTTTAACTAATAAGACAGATTTAGTGTTTCATACATAAATAAAATTTGTTTCAATTAATATTCACAACAAAAAAGTAGCAGATCCAATCTATCTTTATAATTATATCCCTTGAACTTGATTGAGGCGTTATCAGACAGACTGACAGAGTTACTTTTTCATTTAGTAACCATAGGTTAAACAAAACCAAAACAATAAACTTACCTAGGTAAATCGTAGCGCCAAATAGATTCCGCTCTGATGACAAAAACAGAATTCACGATATAAAAAATGCATCAATCCATTTGGCTTGGCATGTATTGAATGAAAATGCTTCATATACCGAGCTAGGTCAGGTAATTGATTGTAGAACTATTGGGCATACTTCGCATGTACACGCTGAGATTGGTATTTTAATTAAAAACCAGTCAAGTGCGAGTTCTACTTGAATATGCCTGGATCCGTACGTACCTTTTTAATATAAAAACTGCCAAATGTTAGCTGCCATTCAATTTTTGAGTTTTTAATGGTACACCACAGTTTAAGCTCGATTTTCTTGAGATAGACTGCATTTTTTTTATTTATGCGGTTGTGTAACAAAGGGACAGACAACATAGGTATGGGTCCCTAAAACCCTTTAAATACGGAACCTTAACAGCGACTCCCGTGCAATTTCTAGGCACATTATAGGCACATTGTTCCCGAGATTATTTCCTGATGAACTTTAGGTATGGGCTAATGGATTGAATGGTAGTGAATAAAGCTTTATTGTCCTTGTGCTTCCACATCAAGTAGTTAATATCCGAGGGGTAACCTAAGTTGTGTACCTTGTACGACTATCATCTCAGCAAAATGAGTTTGAAAAAGATTAATCGGGATCGGGAATAGCCCAATAACGAGCGGGATTATGCAACCATCTTACAACTACATAATTGCTACTTAGAAACACGTCCTTATAAGATACGTGATTTGGTGAGATGATGAGGTGTGCCAATTTCAAATTTTACTAGTACCTACTACGAGTAGTACCCCTTACTTACGTAGTTATTAGGCCAGTTACCCTTCCAAGTAAACTTAAATGCTCCTAACAGTGACCATTGTGATATTGTCGCCCAAAAATGTTCTTAATTTAGATAAAGAATGGTGACTAGGAGTTTCCTACTCTGTCGTTGCTTCAATGCTATTTCTCACAGCTACTGTACACCTATGACCAGTACTACAGCAATAAATATAGCTGTATTAACGACTGAGTTCCATGAAAAGCCGGGACAAAGCGCGGCCCGTTATAATAACGGCAATCATGGGCTGCTTTACTTCTGTTATAAAACTGCCACCTATATTTTCTACACTTTCACTATATGTTTACAATTGGAACATTTAGGGCGAGTCTAATAGTGGTTTAGTTAGAACTAAGAATAAATATGCGTCTATAAGTAGATTACCTAGTCTCCAGATTACTAGCTTAATATGAGTCTAGGTTATTAGGAAGTATGATAGCTGGAATAAAAAAACTGTCATAAACATCTAAATATATAAAAGGAGAAACTGACTGACTGACTGACAGATCAACGCACAGCCTAAACGGCTAAACGTAGGCACTTGAAATTTGGAAGGGACGTAGCTTAGGTACCGTAGAGGTGCACTAAGAAAGGAATTTCCGAAATTCCCACGGGAACGGGAATTAGCGGGAAAAACTGGATTTACGCGTACGAAGTCGCGGGCGGCCGCTAGTTTTGTATAAAAGAAATTGTCATAAAATCTCTTTTCGTTTTACAGAACGGACTCAACGCATTGCACCTCGCCGCTAAAGACGGCCACATATCGGTCGTAGAGGAGCTGTTGAAAAGAGGCGCCACCGTCGACGCCGCAACAAAAAAAGGTAAAACTTAACATTCTGTACCTAATTATATACTTATCAGTTTGGTTAGGACATTGTCGGCATAAAATGAAGCAGATTTTCCAAATAATAAGTACTTTAGTAGTAGTTATGTATGCATCTATGCTGCAGATGGTACGATACTGAACCAATACAACTGTGCGTGTTATAGTCGTATACCTGACTCACTTGTGAACTCAGCAGAAGAATAAGAAAAACAATGAGGGCTGAGGATATATGTCATCTTTTCTGAGTCATAGGCTCAATAATGACTTGAACAGTCCTTGAGTCCCATAGTTAAGCTTCAATGACGCGTGGACTCGTCGGACTAGTATTAACATTCCTATGATTTTCTTCAAGTATTTCCGACCATATTGTCCATGACGTTGATAAGTAATCAAATCTCTTGCAGGCAACACAGCACTCCACATAGCATGTCTCGCGGGGCAAGAATCAGTGGCGAAGGCGCTACTGGGGGCGGGAGCGAAGGCCGACGCGCAATCAGCCGCCGGGTTCACGCCGCTGTACATGGCAGCGCAGGAAAACCACGCGGGCTGTGTCAAAATGCTGCTGGCAGCGGGGGCTAGCCAGACCCTCGCCACAGAGGTGAGAGTCTTATGTTTACTCTGATATATTTAAAGATCTTGCTCTTGCGAGAAACAATTCGGTCTGATCGTCACTTACCATCAGGTGAGATACAGGTCAAGAGTTTCATCGCTGTGGATAAAAAAAAACATCTGGATGTAGGCAGCGTCTGGTTGCGGGCAGTACAGGACAGATTGGTGGATGGATGGAAATCCTTGGAGGAGGCCTTCTTCCGTCAGAATTTGATGACTTTAGGCTGAAAAGAAGAAAGTTATTGTTCTCAACCATTCGTAGTAGGTCTACCTCGCAAACGTTAAACTAAATACGAGTAAAGAGTATCTTGTGAGTAGATGTGAATTCTTCTCATTAACTCATGAGATTTTTCCTTTAACCACATATTTGTAGAAAGGGGGAGATAGACTAGAACTGATTTATGATTTCCAATAAACCGTGTATAAGAATATGTGTACTCTTTTCCCGTAAACAAAAGGAACTAAGAAGATATTACCTACATATTAACTTGACTTAATTTTTCTTGTTTCGCCTTCAGGATGGATTCACACCGCTAGCAGTGGCCATGCAGCAAGGCCACGACCGAGTGGTGGCTGAGTTATTGGAGTCAGACACCCGCGGCAAGGTGCGGCTGCCGGCGCTCCACATCGCTGCCAAGAAAAACGACGTCAAGGCCGCCACGCTGCTGCTAGAAGTAAGTGTAGATCACAAGGCCTGTTCGACTTGATACTGAATGACGCTCATAGTTCGTAGAACTGATATCCGTTGGGGCAGAAGAGTTCTCACCACACGAGAACTGTATATGTCATGTACCAGAAGTCGTAATGTAGGCAGGACTTCTACTCAGTTGATCGACGATCTTGTGAAGGTCACGGGAAGCGTCTGGATGCGGGCAGCGCAGGATCAGTTATTGTGGAAGTCCTTGGAAGAGGCTTTATTCGGTAGTGGACGCTCTTTGGTTCGAACGTTACCAAAGGCCGTCCACTGCTTTTGCATAGAAAAGTGTCACTTTATTATGGGNGGGTATACAAAATTGCGTGGCATATTAAACAAGGTAGTGACGTGCTAATATCAAGACTTACAGATTACATACTCAAATACTAGTAGAAATGACTCGCATACATAAGTTGGAATAACTAAAATAATTCATCTTACTATCTTACTTTTTACTAGTCTTACTAATATTATAAATACGAAAGTTTGTGTGGATGTCTGGATGTTTGTTACACTTTCACGCAAAAACTACTGAACAGATTTTGATGAAACTTTACAGTACAGTACAGCAGTACTAGGCAGTCTGTGTTCAACTATCACTCGGGTCGGACGTTCCTATCTCTCTAAATGAAATCTAATGGTACTAATTTCTTTTAATGGCAACAATAACTGAAAACTTCATTGACATGTCACCTTGCATTTCAGTCTATTGTTGTCAAAGTGTAAACCAACTTTATTTTAAATGTGCGCAATTGATTTTGTGAATTAAATTGCTAAAATCTTTTTATAGTCGTGAAAGAAAAGTGGTTCACAATGTGTTAAAGTATTTGTCGAAGAGAAATACTAAGGGTTCGGACAATATTTTCATTGAATAATGTTTCCGACAAAGGTTGTCAAATTGACTGACATGTTTATCGTATAGTACAGTCTACTATGAAAATTAGCTGTGGTTTTTTTCAACTACCTATTTTAAAATTTTTTGTCACTTTCTAAGTGTTGAATTTTACGGAATTGGGAAAGAAGTACCGAGTTTGAAGCGTTCATGAGCAGACATTGCAGTTGAATATTCAAGTTCTAAATTTGATTATTGATGAATAATAAAATAAATCCTACTAGCTCGATTGATGGTTTCATTTAATTAATTTAAACCAGGTTACCTATAATAATATTTTTCGTTAATTTATGAAAATATCAAATTAGCCCGTAATCCTGAATCCTGATACATAAAGTTAGTCTATTAATTTAACACAGGTACGACTGTACTCAGTGTTGCACTATCAAATGCAATTGACGCGCCTCTATGCCAGGGTTTTTATGTTCCTGGTCAGGCTATATTATTAATATTGTTACTTATGTTTTAATTTAATTAGTTATGCATCTTGTTATTATTTAATTTTAAATTTTTATAATTGATCAATATATTGAATGCTTAATTTATGATTTTTATTATTGTTTTTTAGGGTTCCGTACCTCAAAAGGAAAAAACGGAACCCTTATAGGATCACTTTGTTGTCCGTCTGTCCGTCCGTCTGTCAAGACCCTTTTTCTCAGGAANCCTATAACCTGCCCAGGAGTATGAAGAATAATTGTACCAAGTTTCGTTAAAATCCGTCGAGTAGTTTTTGTTTCTATAAGGAACATACAGACAGACAGACAGACAGACAGACAAAAATTTTACTGATTGCATTTTTGGCATCAGTATCGATCACTAATCACCCCCTGATAGTTATTTTGAAAATATATTTCATGTACAGAATTGACCTCTCTACAGATTTATTATAAGTATAGATGTGCCCAAAATTCAAGTTTCTGTGACTGACTACCGTACAGTCAGTCACAGAAACTTGAAACAAACTTTTGTCACCATGGCCATGACAGTAATTAGTAGTTGACATACTGTGACAAAAGTCACCCGTGCGCGCGCGCCTTTACTACCTGCTCTGCCTGCACTTGTACTTGGTAACAGGGATAATAAGGATATGAAGTTTCGGTTATGGATACGGTTACGGATATTAGAATAATATTATACCGGTTTCGGTTACGGTCACGGATATGAAATCATTTCAGATTATTTATTTATTTATTTATCCGAAAGTCTCGGATAATTTCGGTTACGGAATTATTAGAATTTAAAAAATGTAGGTATAATACAAATAGCAAGATGCTGCGTGAGCGTGACCCACATAGCTACTTTATGTACCAACTAAGACGACACCTATGTATGATAAAGGTAAAACAGGCTGGCATATTAGATGGTGCCAGCGAATGCCAGACAAGTTGGTAACAAATATTAAGATTTAAGGTACAATTCCAAGACGGGCCGCAGACCGCAAACTGCAACCGCAAACTGCATAACTATGAAATCGGCAGCGCGGCATTGCAGCTGCGGCGTGTATACTGCAAATTTCATAGAGTTTTGCAGTTTGGCCTTTATCCGAAACTATCTGTAACTTTTGAATCAGTTTCGGTTACGGTTACGGATCGGATATCCATAACATCCCTGCTTGGTAAGATGGCCCTCTCCGTNAATACCTCAAGGGTGGTCCCATTTAAATTTAATAATAGAAAAAACAACCCCCAAGGGTGGAAAATTGGGGATGAACTTTTTTATACGCAATATCTCTGCCGATTATAAATCAATTTGAACGATGATTTTTTTGTTGAATAGGTATTATCAAAAGGGTGGTTTCATGCGAATTTGAAGAAAATATTTCACCCCCAAGGGTGGAAAATTGGGGATGAACTTTTTTATAGGCAATATTTTTAATTTTTAGTTTTTTTTTGTGTTCACGCATTTGAAGTCGGTTTAATTTTTTCTTAAAAGTTAATTATTGCTTTAGAAAACAAAAATTGATCATTTCTCTTTAATGTGTCACTTTAATAAACCTCTCTTATTTATTCTCTTCCAGAACGAACACAACCCAGACGCGTGCTCCAAGTCCGGCTTCACTCCCCTCCACATAGCGGCTCATTACGGCAACGTGGGCGTGGCGCGGGCGCTGCTGGCGGCCGGCGCCGACCCGGGCCGCGCCGCCAAGCACAACATCACGCCGCTGCACGTGGCCAGCAAGTGGGGGCAGCTGGCCATGGCCGACCTGCTCGTGGAGAACGGTGGGTGGAGATGGAGAAGAGCTGATAAAGATCTTGAGATGCGCGCAACGTTTTTGAGACGCCCGCTTACGTTCTTTAGACGCTCGCTCCGAACTTTCTTGAAACGCCCGCACACAAGGTTGTTAGGACGCCCGCTCACGCGTTCTTTAGACGCCCGCTCACGCGTTCTTTGGACGCCCGCTCACGCGTTCTTTGGACGCCTTCTCACTAGGTTCTTAGGACGCCAGCTCACAAGGTTCTTAGGACGCCCGTTCACGCGTTCTTTGGACTCCCGCTTACGCGTTCTTTGGTCGCCCGCTCACGCGTTCTTTAGACGCCCGCTCACAACGTTCTTTAGATACTAGCCTCAATGGGAACTAGAGCTCTATATTGTCTTAGTAACTTAGCTGCTAGAGCAGTCGCTATCGAATCACACTCGCGTGACATCAGTCCGGCGTAGTGGGCGTGGCGCGGGCGCTGCTGGCGGCCGGCGCCGACCCGGGCCGCGCCGCCAAGCACAACATCACGCCGCTGCACGTGGCCAGCAAGTGGGGGCAGCTGGCCATGGCCGACCTGCTCGTGGAGAACGGTGGGTGGAGGTGGAGACGAGCTGATAAGGGTCTTGAGACGCGCTCAAGTTCTTCCGCTGCGCGCGCTAAACGCACATCGTTCATAAAACGCGCGCTCACAACGTTCTTCAGACGCCCGCTCACAAGTTTCTTTAGATATCCGCTCACAATAGTGAGCGTATTTCAAGTCGTTCTTGAGACACAAGCGGGTTACGTTTTTGAGAGGCTCGCTCACATCGTGACAATCACCTAAAGACCGCTTCTTCACTGACGCTAGAGGAAAGTCGATATTGTACTTCGACCTCTTCCTATATTCTTCTGATTAAGGGTGTGGAGGATTCGAAAACATTGAGGAATCCCCTAGGACTACTCAACATTCATTGGATGGTTTCATCGTCAAAAATGTGTGTAATTTAATGCAATGATTAAAAACATGGTCAAAATACTTCAAGTTTTCTAGTTTATGCAATCAAGAATTATCCCTAACCTTTAACCACTTTGTCCCCAGGCGCCAACATAGCGGCAGTGACGCGGGACGGACTCACGCCCCTGCACTGCGCGGCGCGGTCGGGACACAGCAACGTGGTGTCCCGCCTCCTACAGCATGGGGCCCCCATCACTAGCAAAACAAAGGTACCTACTTTCTTCTATCCTAATACTAGAAGTTTTCTCACGTTCCTTTAAACATTTGTTGACTAGATATGTTCCAGCCATAAGTGGATCTAAGATTGCTTGATTTGTGCAAAGCGGAGGGGCGTAGTATCAGAATACTGTCCCGAAGCAGTGGTAGGGTTAAAATTGTAGTGTGACATCTGAGTGTGACATGTCAAAGCGCTTTAAATCCTTACGAGTTCTAAAGTTATGATTGTACCTATCTAACTAAAATTCTGCGTACTATGTGCCCTGCCCATTGCCACTTCAGCTTGCTAATCCGTCGGACTATGTCAGCGACAGCGACTTTAGTTCGTTTACGGATCTCCTCATTTCTGATTCGATCTCGTAAAGGAACACCGAGCAGGGCAGGGCACATAGCACGCAGAACTGACGGCCGATGGGGCAGCAAGGTTTTGGAGTGGAGGCCGCGTACCGGAAAACGCTGCGTGGGACGGCCACCCACAAAGTGGACCGACGACATCATAAAGGTAGCAGGAAGGTGCTGGACGCAGGCCGCTACCAACCGGGCAACAAGGAAAGCATTGGGGGAGGCCTAAGTTCAGCAGTGGACGTCCTATGGTTGAGATGATGATGATGATGACCTAAAATTCCAGACCCCCTTGACAAAGTTACAAAGGTTTACAGATATTGCAGTTTTAATTCCGAAATGCTTCGCTCTGGTGCGTTCCGTGAAAAGATTTTTACATTCCTCTCTTTGTTTTGCTATCATGCGAGTAAACCCCTTTCCTTTCATCTTTTCCAGAACGGCCTTACCCCTCTCCACATGTCCGTTCAAGGCGAACACGTGGAGACGGCCAAGGTACTTCTCACAGAGGGCGCCCCCATCGATGACGTCACTGTTGACTACCTCACAGCGTTGCACGTCGCAGCACATTGTGGACACGTCAAGGTAAAGTGAACTCTATTTCGAATCACATAAAGTTGATTGTGGCATGGCTCACAAAAAGTGCTCCCATTTATGACGTCACCGTCGAGTTTGTCGACTATCAGTAAGATAGTCGACAAACTCGACGGTGACGTCTCGTTATATCTCGCAGTTCATCTACATATGTAGTGAACTCTATAAATGACAAAGAGCATAATTTTGGCGATTGGCGAACTGCCTCCCAATCCAACCCTATAGCGTTTTGTTTGAGAGACTGGTACCTAAGATAAGTTTTATAGAAACCCCTAAGTTGGAATAATAAGTCAATGCTCGTTATTTGCAGGTTGCAAAGCTTCTTCTAGACCGAAACGCAGACGCGAACGCGCGAGCACTAAACGGCTTCACGCCGCTTCACATCGCCTGCAAGAAGAACCGGCTGAAAGTCGTCGAACTGCTACTCAAATACGGAGCTAGTGAGTACCTACTTACTTACGACCTGTAATTTAAATATAACTGAAAAACTAAAAATTTTAAGTACCTTCCTACCTAGGGACATTTTGAAATAAGAGATCTGAATCTGTGCATTTTTAGGGTTCCGTACCTCAAAAGGAAAAAACGGAACCCTTATAGGATCACTTTGTTTTTGTAATGCACAGATTAAAAAATGTATAAAAAAATGCACAGTAAAGCTTCAGCCAAACGCGTGCAGACCGCGTCTGCGATGGCGATCACTATGCGAGCAAAGGCCAATGACAGAACGACGAACGACGCCGCGACGTCTACTTACGATTTATTTTTATACACCTAGCACTAAAAGAACTTCAAATCTTGGGTTTCTTGTACCTTTCAGCAAATCACGACAAATAAATTCCGCATTCGTGGCAAGATTTCTGTGGGGGATTATTGAGACTAGATAACTCTATGTAAAATGAGCCAAGATTTCTGGGAGGTCTTTGGAAGATTGGGCTCCCTATCTAAAATAACTTATTACACTATTTAATTCTCCAGGCAAATCAGCAACCACGGAATCAGGTCTAACACCGCTCCACGTAGCAGCGTTCATGGGCTGCATGAACGTGGCACTAGTATTGGTTGGCGCGGGCGCGGCGGCCGACGCGGCCACGGCGCGCGGGGAGACGCCGCTGCACCTCGCGGCGCGCGCGCACCAGACCGACCTAGTGCGGGTGTTACTAAGAAACGGGGCCAAGGTTAGTCCAGTTCAAAACTAAGTCTAGGTCCTGCGCCATATAAGGTCTAGGTCCGACGTCAAGATAGGTCTAGGTCCGGTATTAGAGCGCTTTCACATTTAGGCGATTTAGCAGCGCGACAAACGCGCGTCAGACGCGCTGCCGAAAATTTCGTGCTATGTGACAGCGGATGCATGCCTTCACATTATAAAAACGCCGCTGCCGCGCTGCAGTCGCGCTACTAACGCCCTAATGTGAAAGCGCTCTTAAGCTAGATGCAACGACATTCTAGGTCCAGTACCAAGCTAAGTCCTCCATCCAGCTAGGTCCAGTATTATAAGTTAGGACCAGCGCCAAGCTAGCTCTAGGTCTGGCACCAAGCTAGGTCCAGCCCGATGCCGATCCAGCGCTAATCTTCCTCCAGCGCCAAGCTACTGTAACTAGGTTTGGCGTCAAGTTAGGTTTAGGACCAAGCTACGTCTAACTCCAAGGCAGTAGCTTCCAGCGTTCATGGGCTGCATGAACGTGGCGCTGGTATTAGTTGGCGCGGGAGCAGCGGCCGACGCGGCCACGGCGCGCGGGGAGACGCCGCTGCACCTCGCGGCGCGCGCGCACCAGACCGACCTGGTGCGGGTGCTGCTGAGGAACGGGGCTAAGGTAAGCTTCTGAGGATACTGCTGAGGAATTGGGCTGAGGTGGGTCTCGCGACCAGCTAGGCCCAACGCCATGCTAGTTCTAGCAAGCTAGGTCCAACGCCATGCTAGTTCTAGCAAGCTAGGTCCAACGCCATTCTAGTTCTAGCAAGCTAGGTCCAACGCCATGCTAGTTCTAGCAAGCTAGGTCCAACGCCATTCTAGTTCTAGCAAGCTAGGTCCAACGCCATGCTAGTTTCAGCAAGCTAGGTCCAACGCCATGCTAGTTTCAGCAAGCTAGGTCCAACGCCATGCTAGTTCTAGCAAGCTAGGTCCAACGCCATGCTAGTTCTGCTAATTTCCTCTAACCTAAACTATATTATTTCCCAGGTGGAGGCACGAGCCCGCGAAGAACAGACGCCACTACACGTCGCAGCGAGACTCGGTCACGGTGACATCGCGGCGTTGTTGCTGCAACACGGCGCCGACGTCGCGGCTGCCACCAAGGACCACTACACGCCGCTGCACATCGCTGCTAAAGAAGGTACCATCATCATCATCATCATCACGAGCTGATGGACCTAATCGTCTATTAGACATTATACCAAATATTCTATTACTTCTTGGTTTACTTGATTTACCCAATACAGCTGTCAAAAAAGGTATCATCATCAGGTCATGGACATAGATATTTGGTGGGATTTTAGGGAGATTAGCTGAATATTCTGACGTTTGTATTTCGGTGCAAATGCTCCTGTTCGCCACGCTAGGTTCTCGTCTAGGTTCAAAACAATAAGGGATCTTACTCTGTTCATACCACGAAAAGTTGTTTTATCACGTATCCATTATTGTGATCAAACTTACTCATTATTTATCTTCTACCCAGGCAAAGAAGAAGTCGCCTCCATCCTGCTCGACCACAACGCGCCAATCGAGGCTGAGACCCGTAAAGGCTTCACTCCACTGCACCTAGCGGCCAAGTACGGAGATATGGGCGTGGCCAGACTACTCTTAGCGCGAGGAGCGCAGCCCGACGCGCCGGGCAAATCTCACATCACGCCGCTACACATGGCCACGTATTACGGACACCCAGATATAGCGCTGCTTTTGCTGGATAAAGGTATTTAGGATTATAGATTGTCAATTTTTTTACGTTACAATTTGAAATGATTGGTGCTATTATGCGAATTAGAATTTTTATGTTAGTGGTTTTTGTCTATACTCGTAGTTTAGATCTCGTTAAGGATATTCAAATCTTTGGAATTAGGTGTATACTTCTTATTTAATAGGTCCAAAATAAGAAAAAAATACTTTAAAAATTTCCAATGCACATTTTATTCTTATACGTTAGCACTCAAACACTAAATAGGCTAGATTATACGCACTTATAACATAATAATGGAGAAGTTTCATGGTGTGAATGAGCAATCATTAATGAAGTAATTCAATTATATTTTATCAAAGATTTTTGAGACAAATAATATTTGTAGTTAAGCACCAAAAGCACTACTTTCCTGTAGGTTGTGGATAAAAAAAATTATTGCGAAGCATTATATCGATGTTGCACGATAAACCCAAACGTTTGTCGATCAAAGTCATCGATAAGATTTTATCATGGCGCATATTCTAGCCCGATTGATTAAGAGTTTTTTACACGTTCTAAATAACTTAAAATGTCTTAGTGCCATTGCCATTGTAATGACTTATTTATTATTGTTGGTAACGAAATAAACATTTTTCATTTTTATTTTCATAGCAGAGTTATAAAGCCATTGAATCTTCTCCACTAACCGTAGTAATGTGCCATGTTCTAGTACGTTTGTGTAAGCTAGCGGTTGTGTTGTAGGAGCGTCGCCGCACTCCCTGGCCAAGAACGGCCACTCGGCGCTGCACATCGCTTGCCGGCACAACCACCCAGATATCGCGTTCGCTCTGTTAGAGCACGGTGAGTTTATTACATGACACACACACTATAAAGCTTCAATCACATCAACGCATCCAGATCGCCATCGCCGGCTTGATCATTTAAGCCAGTGGTTCCTAACCTTTTCAATGTCACTACCCCTGTGAACAAGTATGAGAATTGAGTTTACCCCTGGCTAATATAAAATAGTTGAAACCACAATAATCTCGGCGGTCTCCTGCGACTCTACAGAATCTAAGAATTTCGTGGTGGAAGTAAATTTGCCCATCCTAAAATGTCTCTGTAAACGAAGGCAATTTTTTGCTAAATAAGTTTGGCACGGCCTATAACGTACTATTATTTTGTTTATTGATTGACGGAGCCACTGATTTAAGCCAATGACAGGTCGCGCGACCCATGACAGTCCGCGCGACCTGTCATTGGCCTATGATCGCACCGGCGAAAGCGATCTGCACGCGTTGGTGTGATTGAAGCATTAATTCACTGTATAGTTTTGTCACTCGATGAATGGGGACTCCGTTCGACACACACAAAAACAGCATCACACACCTGCCTTAAAGTAGTTGTAAATATAGTATACCCCGACGATACACTACCGATATAATTATGTACATAAATAATTATATCGTTAATCTGTACCTACATTCTGACTTTGTATGAACCGAATAAACTATTTTTCTTTCTTTCTTCTGAAACTAGTAGCATCAATAGCTCAGTAACTTTAGTTTCATCAAAACAGTATTCGAGAGCCTACGCTAAAAATATTTTCTACAGCCGTACAATAGTAGACAACTGATCCACACTCTTACGACAGAAGTTTCAATGAACTTTCTTCCGTCACAATCAGTTTAATTTGAAAAACAATCTACACTACGTACCTCGCCTCCCAGTCCGCACGACACGGCAGGCTTTTGTGTATGTGTTACATGTTTAAACGTAATCTTTAAGCCTTATAAATGAAAATTCTAATAAATAAATATTCTGGAAATGAAGACAAGTTACTGAATATCGCGCAATATAGTCTGGCTAAAACCCATGAGGTCTAATGAAGGTCATCCTAAATCACTAAACACAATTTAAAAGACTTCAAGATTGAGAAAGTAGCTGAACTAATTTTATATCTTTTCTTATGTTCTTTTAGATGCCGACCCTGGAGTTAAGTCGAAGGCAGGGTTCACACCACTGCACATGGCTGCCCAGGAAGGTCATGAGGACTGCGTGGAGATGCTCATCGAGCGAGGAGCTGATGTCAACGTACCTGCCAATAACGGTAAGCAATATTGCGCACTATATCCACTATATTGCGTAGATATAAAATTAGGCTGAGTTGAACCAATTTTTTTAACATGACAGATTTTTGACGTTTGTTTAAAGTTAAATTAAGATAGTGCAACTCAGTAATTTTGTTTTTATCTACTCAGTAACTCTGGTGCAGTTCTTTGAATACTTTTTGAAGAATATAACGGTCAATGCTGAGATAATTGTGAAAGAAAACCAATTGTAGTTACGCAATCCCAACTAATATTATAAATGCGAAAGTAACTCTGTCTGTCTGTCTGTCTGTTACGCTTTCCCGCTTAAACCTCGCAACCGATTTTGATGAAATTTGGCATAGAGATAGTTTGAGTCCCGGGAAAGAACATAGGATAGTTTTTATCCCGGTTTTTGAAACAGGGACGCGCGCGATAAAGTTTTTCTGTGACAGACAAAATTCCACGCGGGCGAAGCCGCGGGCGGAAAGCTAGTAAACCATAAAAATTATGGCACTCGGTCATTAAACAGGATAATGATTTTACCATTGAACTACTTGGTATTAAAATAAAACTTATTATGTTATTTTTATCACTAATCAGATTGGAAAACTGACTATTTTTGTATATTCTGTTTGAATTGAAGTATAGCTTTAAGAGACACATCAACTCATTTATCCTATTACTTTATCCCACCAGGGGGGTCCACGGGTATTTTTCTATACATAATCCAGGGGAAATATGCAGTGTACAGGGGCACTAAAGTAGAAGTTAACTTTCCGATCAGTCAATAATAGCAGCTTTTTTCCAGGTCTAACACCCGTACACCTAGCAGCCTCTGAAGGTCGCACAGCGGTTCTGAAGTCTTTACTAGCTGCTGGCGGTCACTGCAACGCGCGGACTAGAGATGGATACACTCCTTTACATGCTGCAGCTCATCATGGCCACCATGCAGCAGCCAGGGCGCTTATAGAGGCCGAGGCTGACGTCACTGCGAGGGCAGCTCACGGGTAAGTTGGGAATAATGGCTGTATAAGCAATTAGTAAATGCTGATGGTCACTTTAGCGTCCGCTCTAGCGATGGTTGGGTACTCGCATTCTCACCACGATGTGACATCACTTAAGGTGCAGTGTATGAGTAAACTAAGAATTATAATGTGTAACTGGAACGGCTACCCACAAGGTGGATAGGTGACCTTATAAAGGTGCGGGAAGGCGCCGGATGCGGCCCGCTACCAACCGGGTAATCTGGAAATAGTAGCTGAAATAAAGCCGTATAATACTCCCCTATTGATTCATGACACCATTCCGATATCCGAAGTCCGTCTTCCCTTACTAACAGCTGTTTTACTATCGAATGTAAATTGTAACTTGTATTGTTTGGTTCAGGTTCACGCCTCTACACCAAGCCGCACAGCAAGGACACACGCTCATCATCCAGCTGCTACTCAAGAACAATGCAGACCCGAATGCGTTGTCAGCTGTGAGTATCACCTTAGTATGCCATTTTAAAATGCTAAGAGTGTTCTAAAATAGTGTTATAACACCATTATTACTCTTTTTTTTTTTCAAATGAAAAATATTTTATTGACAAGTAGTTGGGGAATTCCTCTCTTTAAGTTTAAGTAACATGTATTGAGTGAGAGGAATCCACTCTTTCGTCATAGCATAGATGTTCTAAAGTTACATTATGAACTTACATTATTTGTAACGTGTTTGCGATATAACATTTGATAGAAAATGACAGAATTAAACAACTATTAGCATTGTACATAATTTTATAAATATAGTTGGTTAGACTCTCTGGCCTAGTGGTTCGCTTCAATAAATTCTAATTTATTGAATACCTAGTAATTTTAAGATTAAATGAATTTCTGCCAACTTTGCGACTTAAATTAAAGACTTATTAGAAATAGGGGCAACTCATGTACTGTCCAATACCCGATAGTCTAATTATTAACTTTCTTGTTTCCCACCAGAACGGCCAAACCGCGTGCGCTATCGCCGACCGACTGGGCTACATCAGCGCGGTGGAGGCGCTACGACCTGTCACCGAGAACACGCTCAGCCAAGCTGTTGGTGATACTGGTAAGTCTTATTTACATCTTCTAGTGCTTATTTATTATCTTTTTAACCGTGTAAATCTGTCAGAGAAGAAAAGGGCTTCCACTCTTCTCATGGATGACGTAAGATGTAAGGGAGAGATGAATATCAGGCCTCCCCAATCAGACTGAAAAGTTTCGGAAGTGTAAGAAAAGTGAATTAAAGGGGGTTATGCTAATGCAGTGTTGACTAAATGAACTGATGGTGGAATGATGATAGGTGGAATTGAACTTTAAAGTTTAGATTGTTTGGAATCAATCATATTAACTATATCGGTAGACAATACTCGAAGGCAAGTAAAGAGGATTAGCAAGCTGAAGTGGCAATAGGCAGGGCACATAGTACGCAGAACTGACGGCCGATGGGGCAGCAAGGCTCTGGAATGGAGGCCACGTACCGGAAAACGTAGCGTAGCAGGAAGATCGACGACCTCATAAAGGTAGCAGGAAGGCGCTGGACGCAGGCCGCTACCAACCGGGCAACATGGAAAGCATTGGGGGAGGCCTATGATGATGAAGTAAAGACGATGTTTTTCGATGTCAGTTAACAACGGGCAATGGTCGGTTTTATTTGCTATTATGAAATCAGCGCGGGAGAGTGAATAGATCGAAATTGTTTCTACATTTAACATATTATGTTACAAAAGCATTCTAAATAATCATAATTTGATACAATCCTTTACAATATTGCACTTGAACGTGCAATACCAGTCTCACAAATAAGCCCGATCTTTGATGTGCGCGTTAGGTTCGGTTGCGCAACTAAATGTAATGATATCCCTCAAAGCGAGCATAAATTGGCCTCTGGAAGTGTGCCAGCGAGGCGGTACAGTCGGTCACATACGTGTATTTTATAATATGTTTTTTAATTTGTATAAAAATACATGGCAAAGCTTCATTCGTTGTCTATGATTTTATCTGTCACAGAACTGACTTAAATAATTCACAGAACTGTCTGTTGATGTCTGTCAGAGTCACAGAACTGAATTAAAGTAGTAGTTTACGATTTCTTGAGTCTGAATATGAATAATATTTTAAACTCGCCTAAATCTACTAAAAGAATGTAATGATTTTCTAAAACTTTGAGTTTAGTTTTTATATTTTGTTTCTCTATTGCCATTTCGAGTATTTTCGATATAACTTTTCGAGATATTATAATTATTTATAATCTATCACATGAAAGGCACTGTACATATCTAATGGCAGTATTGCAATAGCAATATTGACATTTCTCAGAACTTTAGAGAAACTGCAGACATTTTTGTACCCCACTGTACGTCTCCCGAGCTCAACTATTTTTAGTCACGGATATCGGGAGAAATAAAACACAAATTCGGAAATAGATGGCGGCTAGCTCCTTGTTATGACTGACTGTATTTATCGTCAGAAGGGTGAAAGGTGACTTGACGAAATCATTAATAATTTTAGTAGAGAAACAAGGAAGTAGGGACAAAGATTTTAGGTATTCCCCGAATGGTTGAAATTCTCTTACCATTTCGAAATTGTTTTCAAGAATAGGTTTCTAAGATTGTTTTATAAACAACATAGATAGATGGAGGGTCATTTCTTGTGGGTCAATCTTACAATCTCGACAGGGTATTTAGTATTTACTGAATAAACCAACTTACTCTATGTTATCGCTTCTATTTATTTATTTATTGTTGAAGATTTACCAACAACATATCAATTTACATGCATCGTTACATTATTAGCCCTTAAGTAACACCGTGGGGTAATTTTTTACCCCAGGCGCATAAAAATTGTCATATCTTTTGTTCTAGCGAAGCTAGTGCAATGTCGTTTTGTGTATTCTCAATGCAGAGCGTGCGCTTTAAGCTCCTAGACGCGGGATGTGAAAAAAATCATTCGTTTAGCTTTTACAGGTAGGTGGGGTAGAAATTTACCCCAGGGTGTTAGTTACGCATGCTTTAATTTATCATCCCCTAACATATTATTAATAGGTTTTTATAATATTTAAACAAAATGAGTAAATATTTATATGACGACCAAGTATAGCGTTGTCTCAAAAATACAGAGAGATAAATAGAGCTTGATTTACATGATACTTTACGAACTTTGAAGACATCCCCTCAGAACAAAGCTTTCATAAATTCGACACAGTAATAGAGCTCGAAAGTGATAATTACATAATAATTCAGTGTGTTTGATGTGTTTTGAAAATAATTATTAGAAATAAAATAAAATAAAAAATAATTTCTCATAATTTTATAAAAAACAAGTTTTTTTTATTTTGCTTTGTTGTAAGTCCAAAATTTTTCGTTTTATTTAACTTTCAGTTTAAAATGTGTATAAAGCATCTATTCGATGTTCGATTAGTGTAAGTTTTAAGTTCCCACAATAACTTTTTAAGATTTTTCTACAAGACCATTGTGGAGACTATTAGTTGCAAATGAAAAATTCTTAGTTTTTTGTTATGATTGATTTAAGATGTTTCTTTACGCTGGATAGACGATTTTTAAAAGCAATCGTATAATTTAGTGAGCCCGCTAATACATGTAAATCACAAATTGAATTGATTTTAAATATTTAATTAAAAAATTTCAATTTCTGTTTGGGGTAATTTTTTACCCCAGGGTGTTCAATGTGTAACCAAAAATAAGGATGTTACTTAAGGGTTAGAAAGCTAGAATCAAAAAGATATGCCTTTACAGGTAAATACAGCATTAAACACAGACAGAAAAAAAAGAACTCTATCTTATCTATCTTACATTCCATCTTTAGAATCCTTCAAATACTACCAAGTTCGTTATCACTTACTACCGGATTATTGATACCAAACCCAAGTTTGGAAAAACTATGAAAAGCATAAGAATTATACTACTATCACCCTGGTGTAGCCCTTCAAGCACCCGCTAATCGAGACAATAAAAATCAATTGTTACCGCGGTCTCATGCACATAATCTATTTTCTTTATAAATAATTGCCTCCATAATAATTGGAATGCTTGTTTATTTGGCTGCACCGTCATTTATCAGCCCAATTTACATTTCCCTAGCCAAAAACCCTTACAAACGAAACCAAACTTAAACTACGAATCACAGAGTCGGTTTTTAAACAATAACAGTTTCAATTAACTGCTTTCTTGTGTGGCTACGTTTAACTTGGGAGATTATCTGATTTCGGGTTTGTTTACAACGTATTGTAACCTTGACACCGAGCACGACAAAAGGTTTCTGGGGCAGATGTTGAACGATATTGACCTTTAAGATCAAGGTGCTAAAGCGGGGCTCGTTACGTATTACGCGAGTGCGTGATACGGTTTGATCTTATCGGAATAAGGTGAGAAATGAAATTCCAAATTGGGATTAATCTTTGTTTTTTTTTTTTTTTTTATGTGATAGGAGGCAAACGAGCAGACGGATCACCTGATGGTAAGTGATTACCGTCGCCCATAGACACCCGCAGACCCAGGGGCGTTACAGGTGCGTTGCCGGCCTTTAAGATAAAGATACGCTCTCCTCTTGAAAGCTTGCAGGTCGTATCCGTCCGGAAACACCGCAGACGACAGTCCATTCCACAGTTTGGTTGTACGGGGCAGGAAGTTTCTAGAGAAACGTAGTTAAGTTAGGAAGTTTTTAGAGTTTGTTTAATTTTAAGACGTCAAATGAACAAGTAAATAGGTAAGTCTAGTGACTAGTGTACTTTTACTGTATCTAGAGCGCTACGGACTTTCATATAAAAGCCATACATTTTCTGTAAATAGGCTCTTATAAAGCGCTTTTAAAGGTGGACCGACGCCCTCATAAAGATAGCAGGAAGGCGCTGGATGCAGGCCGCTACCAACCGGCCTTTGTGGAAATCACTCGGGGAGGAATATGTTTAGCAGTGGACGTTCTATGGCTGAAATGATGATGATGAAAGCGCTTTAAACCGTCCCAGTATTAATTTACCCATCTAAACTTCCGCACTATATTGCTTTCAGCGCTATTTCATCTACTGTGCGCTGAATCTCAATATCGGAAGTAAATAAATGTAGAGATATCCTAATGTTAAGACAACCTTGACTTAACAAACCGACCATTTGTTTAAAATGGCTAGATGACTAATCGACTATCCTTCAGACGCACTAGAGTGATCGGCAGAGCAAGACCTTGTTGAATTATCGTGGCGGAAGTTCATAATTAATCTTAAAAGTGTAAAATAAATGATCCAATGATCTAACTTTTCAATTAATTTTGCTTGTATAATTTGTGCAACCATCCTGTATAAGTATTATGTCACTACATAATAATATATAGGATTACACTATATGAATGAGCAATAGTAATTTCCATGTAAATCAAATAGCGGATATTGACCTATGTTTATGCAATAGATTCGTCATTCGCGCGTCATTTTACAAAATTTTGTTGCTAACTACAAACTACGAGTAATATAGGTCTAACTGGAGGTTAAAGATAATAAAATTTATTGACGTTTTTCTATCTTCTTGTGAATTTTATATGACATCATTATGTCTGGAATTAATTAACATCTCTCTCTATCTCAGCATAATATGTCCCCAGTGGGATTCGAACTCGCAATTGCTGGCCTAGTCTGGGACGCCAACTGGTGTTAACCAGGTTTTGAAATAAGACCACGTTATAAACTTACGATGAGTAATATGATGTGTCCAACAAAACGGAAGGCGTAATGCCATCTTCGTCGAACCGCTAAAATTTATTAGCATGTAAAATAACACTTTTTATGGCATTTGAGCTCACGTTTGCTATTGTGAGACGAAAGTTATGTCAATACATACATACTTTTGCGACCACCCAAAGCAAATATATTTTGCTTATTAGAATAAAATATAATAAGTGGGCATTTGTTAATGTTTATTTTTGAATCATCTCCGATTGACAATTCTAATGTTAATCACAATGTTCAAAATTGAATTTATACAAGTCTCATCAAAAGGGGTGTACCGTAGTTATCCGACCATTTTGTATGACCATTGTAAGCAAATCGATCAATATTGGCCC